TCCTTCTGCTCCTGCTCTCCAGGCTGTGACAGAAATCAGACCTTGATTCCCCAAGTGTGCTTTTCAAAGCAGGGTTTGCTCCTGTGGCAACAGCCCAAAGGAGTTAAGTTTTGTTAAAAGTTGTCATACTCTCCTATTTCCTGATTTTGGTGTTTTTTTTGGGGGCGGGGAGGGGTTGGTGGAATAAGAGATGCATTCATACTTTCTAAAACACTCTGAAACATTCATGAGACGCCCCTAAATTGTACTGGGATGATGACAAATGCTTACATACTATCAAAGGACAAAAGTTACGGCAAAAATAAAACAGTGAGTTCCTTGTGTGCGCACACATGAGCGGTCACACTCCCACCCACCACCCACAGGCTTCTGCCCACCAGGCCCTCAGGACCCACCAAGGCTGCAGCTCTGAGCACCAGTGGCCTGGAGAGGAGGTAACTCCTCTATGTGCTGTAGATTTTCCTGTGCATTTTTACCTCACAACAGCTCTAATGACCTTGGCATCAGCTCCTACTGGGGATTAATAACTGGTTGGGCTTAATGGCCCTTACTGTGTCCTGGGCCATTTTCCCAGCCAGCCATTAATTCCAAGCAGTTTCTTGGGCTCCGGCCATTATGGCTCCCTGGACTGAGAGGCTGCCCTGAGGCAAACGGCCACAGCCTCCTCTGTGGACGAAGGTCCCACAGTGCGCTCCCTCCCTCTCTGTGGCATCAGGAGGGAGGGCTGCAGTCTGCAGGCAGATTGTTGGTTAGGGCACCACAGGATGTCTCCTTTTTCTGTCTCAGGAGGGCAGGAGGTTTTCTCAGAGGACAGAGAAGGCAGGAGGTTGGGTTTCCATCACACATTCACCAATCCATCCATCTCTTCAGTTTTAATTGAGTGCTTTTCATGGGTCAGGAGGCAAGGGAGATTTACCAGGACTGGAGTAACCTCAAGCGAGTGCCCATGTTTTCCACCAAAGGATGGAATAAAAAAGGAGGCTTTACAGAAAATGTCCCCAAGACTCCAGAAGGCTGCACACTGTGAGGAAGACGTCAGAGAGACAGCCTTGCTAGGCAGCAGGTCCGCTGGGCGCTGCCTCTTCTCTGGGTCCTCGCTGGAGGATCGTCCCCCAGGCAGGCCAGCAGAGCCACAGGCCCACTTCCCTCACTCTGCTCGTGATTCATCCCCCCAGCATCTGAATGCTTCAGGAAAACACCCACGAATACTGCGCCAGGAGTCTTAACTGACTCAAAGCATGAAGATTTCCACCTACATCATTAAAACACAAAGAATTCTAATACTGAGATGTGGAGGAGCATGGCTCTCTCTCTTAGGACTGTAATACATCCTGAGAAACAGGTTCACTCAGTTTATATAATTTTTAGTCATTCTGCCTCCCAAGACATCATCGGTCCCTCCAAATGCAGAAAACAGACTTCATTTCCTCCTCTGGAAGTGATTCAGCCTTTGGTGCGTGCTCTTCTCAGCTGCGGGAAATGTAACATTATGTTTAGAACAGCTATTGTCATTTTATTGGCACCACTTACCAAGAGGCACTTAAGGCATAATTCAGATTTTAGTCTTATTTGCATTGTTTGGTGCAGCCACACAATTCAGAGAGTGGGTGCTGGTGCCTGAGGTGATCTACTTAGACCCTGGGTCTACTGACCCTAAGCGCTAAGGCAGGTGGGCAAGAATCATGAAGGAGGCCTTCCTGGGACTGGGTGGACCCCTATGTGTTCTGATGGTGCCCAGGAATCACAGAGGTTCAGTGTGGCCCAGTCAGGCTCCTTGGTCTTCCCTGGAAAGATCTTCAGCTGGCCACATGTGTGCACAGGAGAAAGAGAGACAGAAAGAAGGCACTGGAATCTCTACAAGGTGACAAGTCACTGCCTGCTCTGAGAATCACAGGAGAATAATTAATTATGGGACAAAGAGATTCTGAGACTTCTTCAGAATGTTCTCCCCAGTAAGAATGAGCACAATGTCTTAAAATTATAAATCAAACCAGAAAATTCAGGGTAATTCTAGGTGAATCTGATGAGAAAAACATGTTCCAATGGTCTTAGAATCCAGTAGAACAAAATCTTACAATGTGATCTGGTTAAACAAATGCACTGAGTTATACAGTACCTCAGTTAATACTGCTCACTGATTGCCTTTTAAATGAATGAACAAATGAATGTCATCTGGCCACAAGGATCTGTTTGGTCTTTTTTCTGTTTTACAGGTGAGAAAGTTAAGTGGGGAAGTCTACTTTAGATCCTGGGTCTCCTGACCCTAAGCACCATGACTGTATTTGCAGATGCCCTCCATCTTCATAGGCATTTCTTTAGCAGGATTTTCCATGACTGGGGGTTTCCCAGGATGCAGGACTTTCAACATTAAAACCCAAACAACCCCTAACAAACTAGGTAGGCCAGCCTCCTTGTGTCAGAGTCCATCCTGCCATCTGCCCTGCTCCACCGTCAGCACACATCAGCTCTTTGCAGCTGACTTTCAGCCTCTACTTCCTCATGTCCAACCACAGTCAGACTCTATTACCAATGTTCAAATTCTGTTTCACTTGTCCTGTCAGGTCTTTTGATACCGGTGACCATGCTTGCTTTTTAAAAACAGCTTATCTGTTGGTGTCCATCACATAGTCCTTCTGCCTCTCCAGCTATTCTACACAGGCTCGAATGTTCCTCATCTTTGGTCCCACGGCTTCAGTGCTGAATCATACCATAGTACTTAGTGTGCATTCCTGTAGCTGTTTGTCTGGGGCACCCTCACCCTAGACTGTATGCCCTTGAAAAAAAAGACAGTATCTTGTCTATCTTCTTTTCCGTATCACCAGGTTCAGTGGCTGACGCACAGTAGGAAGTCTGTCATTGAGCAGATTGTTGTTAAATTTTCCCTCTTCATCCTGTATATATGGGATGTGCAAGTAAAATAAGGAAAAGGAAAATAAAGTATTTCCTCCATCCTTTGAGAAAATTGCCCTTCAGCCCCAGCAGTTCACACAGGGAATTCAGAAGGGCTCCCTACTCCAGGTACCAGCAGTTTTCTGAGGGGAATAGAGGCCCCTTTCTGGGCATCTATAGTGTAGCTCTTCCTCAAAAGAAAGGTTTGGTCTTACTCTCATATCACCATCGTTAACTTATAGCTCTACTTGGATGAGTCTACTCTGAACAGGCTTTTGAAAAATGGAGGTATTAGACAGAACATCTACCGCATGCACCCATCCCAGTGCCCTAAGAGCAACACTGCTGAGTAGGAAATGGCATCGCTGAGTTTCTGGGAGGGAAGAAAGGAAGAAGGCAATGAGTTAAGAAAACATTCCATGGCACTTAGCCTATTTATTCTTGGCACTGCAATAGTAATGGTTAATCCCATGAACTCTGAGGTCAGATTTCCTGGGTTCAAATCCTAGCTCTGCCACCTCCTAACTGCATGGTCCTAAGCAAGTTCCTTCACTTTCTATTCCTCAATATGCTCATAAGATAGTAAAATAGAGGTGATAGCACAGTATCTTCCTTATAGGGTTATTTGAAGAATTAATGCAATTACATAAAAAGCTCAGAACAGTGCTTGATACAGAAAGAACATCCAAAAATAGCAGCTAGAGTGATCATCCTTTTCTTTGTGTTCCTAGCCTTACTGGGCTCTAAACAGACCCCTTTACTATTACTTTAGCACAGATCTCCTATCCTGTCACATTTTATTGCACACCTTTATTGATCCTATGTTCCTCACTACAGTATAAACTTGGAGGGGTTCCATTTCCATTCTTCCTGCCCAAAATAGTACCTGTCATCAAAGGGTAATTGGATGTCAAATAATGAGAATTTGCAATGGTGGGATCCCCATTTCATAAGCTGATGTGTCAATTATCAATCCAAAGTGATCAGTACTGATTTAGTGAGCACCTACAACAAGTGCCACTCTGACTGATAGATAACCCCATTCACAGCTATCACCTATTGAATGATCGCTGTGCTGGGTCCTATGGAAAGGACTGGGTACTACCCTACATGATTGCTATCTTGCAGGTCAAATATTGGTAATTTCAAATAGCTAAATCTAATGCTATGTGTTTTTTAGTTTTTTTCATTCTACCAAGTATAATGCATTCACTGTCCTCAGTTAGAGACATGTGGAGGTTAGTGACTTGCCAAGATCCCACAGCTAATAGGTAGTGGAGACAAGGCTAAGTCCCACATGTGCCCTTGGCCACTATGCAGTGAGGGAAGGTGGCTGCCCTCAAGCTGTCATTGGAGCTGTCCCTGGTGGGCACTACACAACGAGGGCTGCTGCAGGGCACAGGTTCACTGGCTGAGGCCTGTGGTACTGAGCTAGAGACTTTCTTTACATTTTTGAAGATGGACTGACTCAATTTCTCTCCCTGTCTCCTTAAAATGGACTAAACTATCCTGTCATTTCAAAATTATGGCATCTGAGGGGTTACAATTTTCATGTCTTTTCCCATGGGATTCTTGAACAACGTTTATTTAGCATAACCATATTTGTACTGCATCTAAGAAAATTGGTAAATGCTTAACTTTCCATAAGGTAAGTTTAGAGTTTCAAATCTAATGTCACAGCAAACTGTAGTCTCCTTCAATATGGAGGGTAACTTTGGGGTCAGAAAGATCTGGGTTTAAAAGCATGATCAATCATTCCTTGCTAGTTATGCACCATGGGCAAATTTCTTAACATCTCTGTGCCTGAGTATCCTCATCTGTAAAACGGCAATCAGAGAAATCTTGCTTAGCTGTTCAGTATCAGTAAAGCCCAGAGCCCACTGCTTGACAGGTCAATGCTAGCTCTCTTTCCCTCTTATCCAATGCTCCGTGTCACCAGTTTGGAAGAGAATGTAAGGGCTGCTGATGCCATAGCAGAAGGGATATACTCTGGCATGGAGTATAGGGTTGAGCCGGGAGCGGGGAAACGGGCAGCCTTCCGAGGCAGGCCAGTGACCAGAGGTGCCCAGTGTGGGTTGCCCTAACCATGCCTTTCTCCCGCCGCCTTCCAGCCCCTGAGAATGCACTGCAGGGACTGTGCACTGGTGACGAGCTCGGGTCATCTGCTGCACAGCCGGCAGGGCCCTCAGATCGACCAGACGGAGTGCGTCATCCGCATGAACGATGCACCCACGCGCGGCTTCGGGCGGGACGTGGGCAATCGTACCAGCCTGAGGGTCATCGCGCATTCCAGCATCCAGAGGATCCTCCGCAACCGTCATGACCTGCTCAACGTGAGCCAGGGCACCGTGTTCATCTTCTGGGGCCCCAGCAGCTACATGAGGCGCGACGGCAAGGGCCAGGTCTACAACAACCTGCAGCTCCTGAGCCAGGTGCTGCCCCGGCTGAAGGCCTTCATGATCACGCGCCACAAGATGCTGCAGTTCGATGAGCTCTTCAAGCAGGAGACTGGCAAAGACAGGTGCAGAGGCTCTGGGCGGGGAGTGGCAGGGGTCAGGGAAGGAGGAGGCAATGTCACTGCTGGCTGTCACCAAAAGCAAAGCTTCAGCTGTGGCTTTACATAGGGGCCCCACTGTTCATGCCATTGACAGAGCTCATCTGTAGGGTCCAGGAGACTGGGTTGCTCAAGCTGAATTTATAAGGCAAAGTGAAATGAAGCACTAAGACAATTACATGGATAATTCAGGGCCAAATCCCTATTTTGGAGGAAGGGGCCACACAGCTGTTAGTAAATGCAAGATAACAGCTTTATTGCATTCCATTTCCTTGTGTGATCACTAACCAAAAAGCAGTGCATGGTTTATTTTTGCTTTCAAAGGCAAACGTTTATTCAGTCAACCAATATTTATTGAGCACCTACTTCTTCACTGCACCAGGCACTGGGAGACAGTCAAAAATAAGACAGATCTAGACCCTGCCCTCCCAGAATATAAAGTCTTATAAGTCGGGCCAACATGCACCAAGGGGTAGCCAGAGCGCTGAGCATTATATGAAGGGAAGAACATGGTGTTGTGGTATGTATGCCATGCTCTGGGAGACTCGCCATGGCCTAGGGCAAGGTTTTCCAAACTGTTAGTTACAACCCAATAATGGGACATGAAATCAATGTAGTGAGTCATTGCAAGATTTTTTTTATGTAATGGAAAGAATGGAATTGAATGATATGGACAATAGCAGCATTCATCCTCCACAGTAAGTAAGGGAAAGTATTGTTTCATGATATAATACTTGTTTCGGTTTTATACATACAAACATATATATGTAGAAGTTTCTTTTTGAGGTGATGAAGATGTTCTGGAATTAGATAGTGGCGATGACTGCATACCCTGTGAGTATGCTAAAAAACACTGAAGTGCACACTTTAAAAAAAATGAAATGAAACCCCATATACACATGTATGTATCTATGCTAGATCATGATGTAACGTGTTTCTCACTATAGATTGAAATATTTTGAAAAGCACTGGTCTGGGAGATGAGGGAATGAAGGAAAGACCTTCTCAAAATAAATGTATTTAGGCTGAGACCTAGGCCAGTATTTAGTAAGTATTTAAGGAAGAGCCTGGGAAGGGGAGTGAGAACCCTCCTTTGGGGTACGATGGATCAGGGGTGAGAGAACATATGGTGTGTGTGGAGAAAGGTCTCTGGCTGCACTCAGAATGGCTGGTGGGGAGCAGCTCAAGGTGAGTTTTATAATTAATACCTAATTAATGATTGTAATTTACCCTCTTCCTTACAAAAACTATTGCTGAGTAGATTTCTTATCTTTAACCTACAGAGATATGATAAATGAAATAAAGGACATAAAGTACTAAATCTATTGTTTGGCTAGCTTAGGCAATTCATTATTCGAGAACCAGCTTAAAGAAAGACCAAAGCCCAGGCTCCCCAAACTCTTTGCATGAAAGAGCTTTCTTTTTAAATCCTGGCAACCTTGTGACCATTTGAGGGCAGGTTCAGGCAGGAGGGGAGCATGGTGTCTGGAGGAGAGAGGAGAGGGGATGTTTGCTTCTGGCTCTGTGGCCTCCCCTAGAGTCCCAGGTGACCCCATGGTTAGCCCAACCAGTAGATGACAGAGCAGATCCTGGTCATCATCACAAGCTACCACAAAATGCAGTCACTTACTGCCCCTTAAAAACCACAGAGCAAAGAGGCTGTCACTCATGTGAATGAGTTATTAACCAAGAGAGCATTTCATAAAGGAAGAAGAATGAGGGGACTTATTTACAGTTTCATTTTTGTCTGGTTGGAAAATTCAAAATACATTAATAGAAATGCCCTCTTCAATAAAAAACACTCTCTCTTTTCAGTTTAATGGTTGTTTGCTAAATTTAAGAATTCCTGAAACACTGTCATTATTTAGGATAATTACACGTCACACGACCTTCTTAAGGGGTTATTTGAAGTTGATAACATGGAAGCTGAGTCATTCCACCTTTTGGTCACTTAGATCTTTAGGAAACAATCTCATATCAAGACATATCCCACGCACTACATTCATTAAATTCTGACCAGTGCAAACCTTTTTGCTTAATAAATCTCTCTCCCTGGTGAGGCCAGCTGGTAAAGAGGGAACCAACTCTGTGCATTGGCTGCTGGACCTCTCATTCACAGACATCCGTCTACAAGGGTCCACACAGTCTCTGCTCAGAGGAATCACACTCACGGATTTGTAGGGTGCCAGAGTACATTGTCACGTCTGAAATCTATGTGCCTCTTTAGGAAACTGTCTTAAGAAAGTTAATGTTGCATTGACTCAATATTCTCATGTCTGCATTCTTAACCTGCAACCTGCTCCAAGTTAAAAGAGCCAAGTCAGAAATAGCCCTTAAGAACAAAAGTATTTCTGTAAGTTAGAACACAAAAAATTTAAGGTCCCACAGTATTTCCTCTATGTATGCTTTTTCTAAAACCCAGCAAATGGTAGCTTGTATGAAAGATACACAGAGTGTGGAATATCTAATTTTGTACATCTTATGAATAGGACATTCATTTCAGGCTAATATTTTTGAAGAAATACAATAATTCAATAGATTTTGATTAATAGAAGTTTCACCCTACTTTAAAGTGGAGGGAAAAATGGCTCAGGAACAATCTGCAATTAAGAAGCATGACAAATGACATAGATGGCCAAGTGGTATTCTTTGATATCAGAAAGTAACTATACTTGAAAATAACTTTATAATTGAATAAGGGTACATTAGGAAAATATGATTCAGAACCAATATTATAGTAATTAGATAAAGGAAGCATAAATGAAATAACTGCAGGAAGAATATTTCCATAGAGATTATAAATGAGATTCTGGTGGAGCAGAAAGGCCTTTAATTGTAATTTAGTGTGCACTATGGAATTATCAGCTCAGTGTGTTACTTCATCATATAAAAGAATATCTGATAATTTTCTCTAATAAGCACATGACAGCTCTTCATATTCCTTCATTATAGCTGATGAAGTGGAAAAACAGTAGATATTCCTTTGTTGGAAAAAGAGTTTAAATCTTTTTAGAAAGGCAGCACAAAGCAGTTGCATTTCTATAGCACATGATCCCCAAGGCTCTTATTCAAGAAGTCTGGGGAATTTTAAGTGACACTTTAAAGAACTTTTCACATTAGTTTCTTTAGTACTCAGCTTTGTATTCTCCCCATTTTTACCCATGAAACCATTTTCTGTGGAGTCACATCCTCATGTATTTCAGGCTGTGGCTTGATCTCTAGTACATGACACAAAAGAAACCAAGATATGGTGGAGTTTCTGCCAACAGAAAAAATCCTCTTGCTGTTTTCGACAATTCTAAAAGCATAAGGACACAAATGTGATTCCCAGATCAGGAGTGTGGGGCTGTAAGTGAGCTGTCTTCCTGGGCTTCACATCCTCCCAGAAATTCATGCACTAGTATAAGTCTAGAAAACTGGCCGTCACATTGTCATAGCCACATGGGTGAAGTCAGGTTCTAACTTGAGGCAAGGGACCCCTTCCCTTCCCCTTTCCCATTCCATCAGCTCTTCTCCATCCCACCTCCATCCCACATCCTACGTCCCAAAGGTCGTAATGAATATGTGGCCCTGGTGGGAAAGAAGGGGACTGTGAATATCTATGTAGGGTGGAGGCTCCAGATTTTGTAATTACTGGCCTGACTGCTGATGGTGGCTCTTACACAAGGGCAGGTAGCAGAGTGCTGGAGGGATATCAGTTTCTTCATGGATGCTAAAAAAGCACCAAAAGAAATAGCTGAATTATTTATTTCATTTGCTCTAACCTAGCAACCAAGAGAAGAAGGGGTCTCAATGTATCAACACACCAGAGTAGATACTTCTGTGGCATTCTCTTATTTAGTCCTCAAAACAGCCCAGGAAGATAGAGTTTCCCAGTCCTGCTTTATAGATAGAAAATCAAGGCCAGAGATCAGCAATAACCTGCCTCAGATCATTCAGCTGGTTAGTGATAGAAATAGATAACATACAGACCCATGGTATTCCCATTTTTAGAAGCTTTATATGTACTTCCTGGGATGTGGCTGGGTCAGGATACAATGGCACGGAAAGCAAAAATGAGCAAAGGGATTAAGAACACAAAGTTGAAGCCATGAATTCAGGAATGACTATATCACCCATTTCTGTCAGATATTTAACAAAACAAAGGACTCCTTAAAGTGCCTTTTTTTTTTTTTGGTCCTTACACGAAATGGAAATAACATAACTGCTTAACGAAAAGTCTTCCTTCTCAAGAGGGGCTACACAGTGTGAGTAGGAAAGCTTTTCTACAACTCTGTTATTCACATCACATATGGTGCTACAGCCAGGCAAAGTCAGACAGTCTGACCTTGGGGATAAGGTGTTTGAAACTGGCTAAATGAGGCATGCCATAAGCACCGGGAAAAAAAAAAAGTGAAAGCAGTAACCCCCAAAGAATTGAAATTAATATCCACAGCAACCTCACACGTTGGACTGATTCTTTCTCATAGGGTCAGATTGGATCTTGATGTTATGTGTCTGTAGTTATCCTTAGAGTTCGCACATGGTTGGAGCTCAATACAGATGTTTGAATGGGCAAATGAGTTCACGTTGGAACACAGAGATTCATTCCTTAAATTTAGTCAATTTTTGGTTCTCTAATAAAAACTTTTCAGAAAGGCTCTGAATGTTCTGAGGTAAAATAAAGCAAATGCTCAATTAAGCCTATGTATTCCCAGGACACTTCCTCTGGTCATTAGCCCCTTCCCAAATGAATGTACCCTTCCTAAGAAAAGACATTCAGCCAAGTTGTTGGTGCTAATTAGTCTAACTGAAGGCAAGCGTTTATGCTAAGATCATTTGATCAATCAGTCGGTCCATAGATAGACACATTTATGTGATTATACATATTTAATAGGCTCTTTATTATCTAGCCTGCTTGGGGAACAAGGAATATTTGTAGTCAAGTGTTCTCGTTAATAAAGAGTTGACACACGGGGATTGTCATTTTACAAGAAATTGAGTTGTGGTTAAGCACTGAAATATTGATCATCATCTTTGATGATCTAGAAGTCCTTTGAGCATCCTTTAGTGCCTCAAACCCACCATGGTGAAGCACTGACATCATTAATCGTTGTCCCATGGAATGGGGTGGTGTTGGTAAGAGATTTCTATCTGGTAAAGTTCCAGCTATTTACCACCTAGAGAGAAAGTGGGTTTATAGTCAGCCTTGCTCCTGAAAGGATTTAAGATGGGATTGGACGTAACGATCACTTTACCAGCTTGTGGACTTACTGTTGTTCCAGGAAGATCTCCAACACGTGGCTGAGCACCGGCTGGTTCACGATGACCATCGCGCTGGAGCTCTGTGACAGGATCGATGTTTACGGCATGGTGCCCCCGGACTTCTGCAGGTAGGGCTCACTCTGCAAGTGCAGTTCATCAGCAGTGTCGTTCGGGGTTTAAATACCAACCACAAAGCATGTCTGTCTTCTCAAAGCAATTAATTAATGTGCCCCAAGTTCTGGTTCCAGAAACAACAAACAACATTTAATTCTGTGATATAAAATATTGAAAGTTTCTGTTTGTGCTGCTGAAGAATCAATCCATCGTGTGGGCATCATTTATCCTCTGAATATTTATCAACCAAAAGTAATGCAATAATTGTCATAATACTAACAGTGAACAAGCATTAAGAAATATAAATTGTATTCTCATTTGAAAGGAATGTGGTCATGTTTAATGAATCAAAGAGGGCAGTTTCTCTGATGGCAAAGCCTATTTTTCTAAAATCAAAATATTCCTCTAAGCTTCATGCCCTCCCCATATCAGTAGCCTTCATCTGTGCTTCTAAGGCCAAAAGCACAGAATTAATTATTTTGCTCTACTACTTTAAAGGGAATACACACACATCTGTTGCTCCCAGCATGTATCCAGGCAGAGTTTGGCGTGTACTAACTCAGATGCACTGAGAAATATTTGGGGCCTGATCTGTGGAAGCCCAGTTGAGAATTCACTTATAATTTAAAAGTAGTGCTGCCAGTAAATTCAGAAAGTGCCCTAGTTTTCAGGAATGCCAGATGACCTGCACATGGCCTCAGTCCTGATCTTCAAATGGTAACTCCTAGGATGGGGCATTTCAAAATTGCTCATTGAAATTTATGGTTGTTTATACCCTCATGTGTTTTCAACCTGACAGCTTCTCAAAAGCTATGGGCCTTTAGGCAAAATCTACAATTTGGAGGTTTGTTGCATGGAGGAGAAAGAGTACTTAATCGCACAGTCACCACTTTGCCCCTCTTCTCCCACCCCTTTGAACCCAAAGATCCAGCCTAGCAGTAGTACAGGTTTACATGTAAGCCTCCAGTCGCAGAGGAGAAGGCAAGGTCTGGACGGAGCAGGCCCTAACATCTGCCTGGACTCACTGGTCCCCTTATTTACATAATGAAAAAGGAAGGCTGTGGAGTCTGGAGCCAGACTGCACAGGTTCAGAACTCCACTGGCCATTTGCTAACCTAGCATGACCTTGAGCTAGCTGCTTATCCCTCGGTGTCTCAGCTTCCTCATCTTTCGAAGTGCATGTGATGATAAAATAGACTTTGCCTCATAGGGTTGTAGGTGGCTAAATAAGTTAACGCATGTAAAGCGCGTGCAGCAGCACTCAGTATGTGGCAAGAGTTGGCTTGGTTCCTGCCCAGGTTCTCATCACTTAGTTCACGTGCCTTGTTTCCTTGTTTAACAACCTATGTGCAAAAAGTAGGTTGGACTGGGTAAAAAAAGCCAAGTGCCTCCTCAAACCAACAGGCTAACAAAGGGCAGTGGGAGCAGCACTTAGGGACAAAGAGTGTCAAAGCTGATGGCTGTTCGGAAGATGTAATTATGTAATATTGCCATTAGGACGCCAGAGAGAAAGAGCATGAATAAATTGAATTGTTAATGACTTATAATGTTCCAGGAAATATTCCATTTATTATGGAAAACAAATGAAAGTCACATTAATCTGTCATTTCTCTTACTCAGAATTTGTTCATCGTGATATCAGGGATGTAGGATGGAAACAGTTTCTGGAATGCCCCTAACAAGGAAGTCAAAATACTGCCGTTGCGCCATATGTCGGCACGGGCTCTGGGTTCCTGTTCCTCAGCCACCATCCCAGAGGTTCAGTGATTGTTCTCACAAGGCACTTTCAGCAAGAACTCTTCAGAAGGACCCCCTCGCCCGGCATCCTGTCAGGGAAGGTGGGGAAGTGTGCTGGGCGCTGTCTGGGCGAGAGGGTCAGGCGAGGTGGAGCATCTGCCCAGCTGCACTGCCTGTTTAGGAAGGATAAGAAGGGAAAGACCAGGAGCAACACAGACTGATTCCCAAGCTCCCTTGATCTTCATTTCCAGGCCACATCAGCAAACCACCCAGTGTGAACAGGTGACCTTGGGCCTTGCTCTCCTCATCTGCAGAAGGGATAGAAAATAATAATACAAGCAAGCAGGTCATGATAAGGTTTAAATGAGATCATGGATGTAGAATATTTGACACAATGCCCAGCACACAGTGCTGTGGAAAGATTATTAGTATTATCAATATTACTAATATATTAATGTTATATAGTAAGATAAATTAAAAATTACTAATATTATCCTAAGTATCTGAGAGGTACCCTGAAAGATACCAAGAATTTTGGGGGTTCAAAGAATAGCACTTACTTTCTAGAAGCTTATGATGAACCTTAGCCACACAAAAATATATCAAACTCTTGGAACTGAATCACTCCTACAAACAGAAACTGCCACCAGAGAATGAAAAAGGAACTTGGAAGTCAGCCCTGCCACTATCTAACCATTCTCCCTTTCATTTTTAATTTGAAAGAAGCCGAGAACTCTAAGAGCCAAGCAGGGTTCATGTGTCATGAAAATTCATAGGACTTAAGAAAGTAAGATATCACCAGGGCCAAAAGTGCTAGAAAAGCTTCTGTGAGGCAGCCAAGCTTGAGCTGGTTGAGTTCACCAGATTGTAAACTTCCCAGGGCAGATTTTTTGCATTTGGTTCACTGTTGGAGCCCTAGGGCACAGGCCAGGCCATCCTGGCCTATCACAGACGCTCCATGAATATCAAGTGAATAATGGCTCTGTTGTCTACTTCTCTTTAGTGCTGTAGTAAAGGGGCACTTATATGAGTGAAAATGACCATTTCCACCTCTCAGAAGCCCTGTGGCATGAGAAATTTGCTTGACCTTATAAAACTCTGTTGATCTTGGGCAAGTTACTTAACAACTGTCTCAGAAGCCTTAGCTTCCATTTTTGTAAGATGGTGACAATAGTACTTAACTCAAGGGCAGTGTAACTTGGGACAGGGGGAAGGGGGGATGCAAATGTTCTCAGCCCAGGGAAAATAACCTTTGGAGCTGAAATTAGTCAAAGGAAGAAATAAAGTGGGAAAAACCCATTTATTGCTTACAAGTAGTTGCCTACTTCTGCTCACCCATGTCTCTTGCAACCTGACTGCAAAAGGACCCCACCAAACCTCCAAATAATGCAAGATATACCCTCACTCCCCTTTACTGATATGGAGATGGACTACCTCTCTCCACCCTTTAGAAACACCTATTGGTATGGACATGCACTAAGGTCAAGCAAGAGATTCTGGAAAAATCTGCAGTTTTACTCACAGGCTTGTATGATCATATGAGCTAATAGATAAGGAGGTGCAACACAACCCTGCTGTCCCCAGTGTGTGTAAAGCATGCATCAGTTTACCAGATGAGGGGCTCACTTATCTTCAAGTGTGGGTGCCCACTGGCACATTTTAAGGAGAAATCCAGAGAGCACTAATGAATGGTGCTCAGTTGGTGAGGAGGGCCTGGCTGCTGGAGAAGGAAAGGACATGCATGTCCTCCTATGTGACCTGGACTCCACTTTGCTACATCACTGAGAATTGGCTTCATGTGGCTTCCAGCTCCTTGCAGGACATCATACAGTCTGCTCAGAGGGTACCTACCCATTCTATTACTTCCTTAAAGTGCCCAGTTTCTCACTGGAGTGAGGAGTTAGGCACATGCATCAGATTTCAGCAAACAAGAAGAGAGCTGCTTCTCTGCAGTAAATTAACCTTTTCAGACTCTAAGATTCAGTCATAAGGGACAAAAGGTTTGCCCATGGGAGAAAATACTCCCTATGTGTCAGTAGCATCTGACTCACAGGGCTTTATTGAAATGTCCACCTCTGGCTGTCTGCTGGACTCGGGGGAATTCCCTCTGACCCATCAGGTGGGAAGAGACAAGGAACCAAGACAGGAGAATGTGGGCCCTTCCACCACACTTGCTCAAGAGCAGACCCACTTCCTTCTGTTACATAAAGGGTCCCTGGCAGATGAGCACTTTGACAGCCTCTGGTCTGAGATATAATCATGCTGCTTCCAATCTAAATCAAATTCTGACACACGCACAAGGTGAATCTAATCATCACCTTCTTATTGCCAGGGACACGAAGGCACAGTGGGACCAAACACAGGGATGCTGCAGTCAATTCTATTGGCTTAGGGTGGCAGTGCTCCAAGGGAAATGTCAGGTGCTTTGCATGGGATGAGGAAGTCTGGGACTAAATTATACCCTTCGGGAGCTGAGCAATCCATGAGGGCCTGATGGCAATGTGTGGACAGGTTCACCCCTACGAGCCTAGAGCTGTCATTTTCCATCCACATCTCCCGGTCTATCTTCCCAACCCTCTCACCCAAAGGGCCTGAGCTACTTCTAGGAGTCATTGGCAAGAAAACTTCTAGAAGCCTCTAAACCATTAAGCACATGGACTCCTTAGGAAGAACAACAGCCCCACATTCATATTTAAAACAATAAACCACAGCAGTGGATATATAAACAACCAAAGTGGCAGAAGAGCACAAGTTATTCAAAACCTGGCAGAATCTAACACTGACTAAAAGTCAATTGACTGGCATGCAACCTTTTCCTCTTCTGTTTGATACTGCAGTAGCGTCCTGACATCTCTCTCCTGCTCTGGTGTTTGTTTTTCCCTCTTCTCCAAACACCAGCATGCAGCCAGACACACTGCGCCTGTCACTTAAACCCCTCCCCCAAGCTGTCAGAGCGGAGTTCACACCCGCAGCTTAGTTCACAAGCGCGTTGGGGGCCTGGTTTGCACCCACTGCAGTCTCTCCTCTCCTCACACAGGCCTACTTTAGTCAAGCTGAAACACTTACAAAGGAGCTCACCCTGCATACGCTTCCCCCGTGGCTTGGAACATCCAGCCCCTCCTCTGAATCTGCCTGATCACTATGGCTCTTTACAATAATATTAATGGCTGATATTTGTTGTGCCCATACCACATGTGGCCCTGCTTCACATGAATATATATGCCATTTCATTGAACCTTTGACAGTCTTATGAGGTAAACATCATTATTTTCTTTAG